TCTTCCGATCTCCCCAAAACCCCAAAACCCCATTAGAGGTAATCGAAGTGGATAAGATATGTCTGAAATATAAATACTGGAAATTCTTATTTGTAATATAAATGTAAAAAGTAGAATCATACTAACCACCTGTTAATAGCCTACCCCCAATTGTTTTGCAAGATTTGCTAAGGAAGCCAGAAGGATGGCCTGTCGGAATATAAATTAATGTTTACAATATTCTAAGAATAGATACAGGAGGCTCCTAAGTTTTCCAAGCTTCCTTCATTGTCAAACTTACATGGTATGATGAAAAGTATAAAGATATTCCAAAAGACAAAACAGTCAAGAACTTGGATGATATCGAACTACCAAGAATTCAAGTAATGAATGCATAAGAGATCGATAGCTTCGATATAAAGTTGAAAGCATGTGTCGGAGGTCTTATGTTCTATCAAACTAGATATAAAGCCACAATCAAAGAAAACTTTGAGCTCTAAAATTTCCCTTTCGATTACCAACCACTTCATATCAGATTGAGAGCTACTTCAAGTGGTTAACATCTTGTATTCCACGAATCTTTTAGAAATGGAGGAGATGACCCTTGTAAATTTGAAGATTCAACATTGGCTGATTTTGAATTCCAGTAACCCCTTACAAGAATAATATTTGATAACAAAAAATCAAGAAATGAACTAACATACTAATTAGTCTACAAAAGAGCTAGATCATATTATCACTCACATGTATATCTTCCACTTTTGATTTTGGAGTTTATCACTTTTACTCTTGCTCTTATTGATCCAGCTGATGGCTTTGCTGATGCTATCAATATCATCTTGATCTCTCTCTTGACGTAGATTGCTTTCCGTCTTGGTTTAGCAGATATACTACCAAAAGTTTCATATCTTACTCTTGTGGATTACTATTTCTTGACAAATATCCTCTATTCTTTACTGCTCTGCATCTTTGAGATTATTTTCTTCTTCGTTGAAAAAGAACGCGATGAAAGGATCTATTATTTCTTAGGCTTGTTTGGAACCTGGGTCCTATTCAACATTATTTATTTCTACATATTGACTCATAGAAAGTTCACTTTAGAAGATTGCGATAGGCAGTTGAAATTATTGGCAGGTAAAACAAACTCAATTACTATGAAAGATGTTAAGTTTATCAAAAAAGAGCCAAAAGCTTTGGAGAAAAAAGAAAAATGAAACTAGTTAATTAATTATCAACTATTATAAACAAGTACTCAAACTTTAATTCATTCATTTAAACATTTAAATTTCATTTTTTAAAGCTTAAATGTATATAAAAACTTCATTATGGGGTTTTGGGGTTTTGGGGTTTTGGGG